TTTTTTTTGTAATGTACGGAACTGGGATACATACACCGAGTACGTGCACCGTATCGAACGTTTTGACGTGCGGACGTGGAGTCTCGGGTACCGTTCCGTAAATGTTCGAATACTCGCAGAAACAGATTTTAAAATAATCTTGAAAATGATTGAAAATTATTGTTAGGGTTCTAGAATCATCATCAAATATATACCATTTGTGTACGATTTAATATTAAATTTTATATTATATATTTATAATATTATAATGTATTATTATATTATATATTTTATATTTATATATTTTATAATACTATTTGCGTAAGATTCTGGAGCCTTGATAACATCTCAGTAATCTTTAAAATTATTTTGAAATCTGTTTCTGCAAATATTCGAACGTTTATGTATATTATTATTAAATATATTTCGTGATATATGGTGTCGTTATATATTTAATATTAAATATATATAATGATATAACGTTAGTAATAACAATTTTACATCCACTATGTTTCCCGGTATACTCTCAATTTTGGCATTCGTATAACTAATCCTTCTAGTCTGTTATTTCGTACGTCTTGTACGTGTCACTCAGTTCCAAATTTAATCTAGAATTTTAAAAATTCATCCATTCGAAATGAATTCTCGAGAGCCCAGGTTTGGGTTAGGTTTTCATTTGCAGTTTCGCGAATTAATCGTCGACTGCTGAGAGTTAAAGAACAGGATCTCCGGGGTCTCAAGGATATAGAGTGACACAGGATTCCTTTCCATCTTCTAATATTTACACCTTACATTCTGCCTCGTGCAATCAGTCTTCCGCCACTCGACACCTTCCGCCAGACAATCAGCCTGCAACCGTGGCTTATCGCTCTCCATCCAGATTATTCAGCCGTACGCTCCACGTCAAGATTCTCGCAGAACCTCTGACCTAGTCGGCAATTCCCAGAAGATCAAACGATAACGATAAATCAATGGATATCGCTCTCTTTACATCGCGTTGCGAAATTGGCGCGTTTCGTCGACAGTTAAGTAAGAAATTTCACTGGGACAGCGTGTTGCAGCGTCGAACAAGTATCGAAACGAACAACAATCAAAAATGTATTTTTTAGACAAGACAATTGCCTGTTCTGTAATTTCAAGGATCATAAGGAGCTCGCCCATCAGTATCTCCTCAACAAGGAAGATTTCTTTCCCCCAACTTGTGATTTGTGCAAAATTCAATTGACAGTGGAACATATGATTGTCCAATGCGAATAGACATCAACTATCTTTCCTAATTGACAAAGAAACGATTCTAGAACTAATACTACACTTTCTAAGACACTCTAACTTTTATAATAAATTGTAAGAGTTAGTTCAATGTCGCTAATAACCCACATAAATAGTTGATGCGACTGTAAATAATGAAAATAAAAAAAAAAATGGTAACATTAGGAGTGTTGGGAATTAGTCAAGTATTTTGGACCAAGGACAAAATACAAATCAGAAAGTACATATATGAGCGCGGCAGAGAAGGACCCACAGTCAGTTTTTAGCTGTTATTGTGATACGCCGACAAGTTACCGAATGGAAATTCTCGTCTTGTTCTAATAAAAGTGTTCTGTAAAACTGTGTAGCGACTATAAATAATGAAAATAAAAAAAGAATAAATCGTAGCATTGGGAGTGTTGGGGATTAGTCAAATATGAATCGTCCTAAAGTACTTTGGCCAAGGACAAAATACAAATCAGAAAATATACATATGAGCGCGGCAAATAGGACCCACAGTCAGTTTTTAACGCCAACAAGTTATCAAGTGGAAAGTCTTGTCTTAATAAAAATTCTGTAAAAACTGTGTAGCGTAATTTTTAATTACACCCTTAACGACAAATTCGACAAAGAATCGAACGCGCGAGGGAGGGAGAATTGATGAGCGCCGGCGTTTCGCGAGAAGCTATGTTCCTCTTCGTCAGATAATCGTGTCAGAGTTCACGGCCCGTATCTAATCGGTATTCTGCAACGAACGTGCAACGAACGACGCATATGAACACCGAGAAACGAGCCGAGCCAGTCGCGGGCCGATCGTTGATCGTTCAGCAAACACGAGACTTCGAAATGTTGAAATCAAAAACCGTGCGCGTTCTGTCGATCGTCTCGCTGTCACTGGCGATGATCGTTCGATCGGAGGAGCAGCCGACGTGCACGCAGATAACCGGGTACAAGGTGTGCGAGAAGAAGGGAACACTGGTGGACGTCAGCCAGCAGGAATTCGAGGAGAGGCTGGAGATTCACGACTTGAACCTGCTGGCCATTCGAGAGAACGCTTTCAAGAACCTGACGACCACGAAGCTTAGCCTTGGTCTCGGCAACAGAATTTCTGTGGTGGGCAGGGAGTCGTTCAGAGGTTTGGAGAGGTTGGAACGGCTGGACCTGGACAGCAACGTCGTGCCTCTGTCGCCGAATCTGTTCTCCGAACTGAAGCAGCTGCACTCGCTGTCACTGATCTTCAACAAGATCGACACGATACCGAAAGACTCGTTCGCCGGTCTGACGAACTTGATGTGGCTCTACCTGGGGCACAACGACATCGAGTCGATCGGCAAGGACTCCTTCTCCGGGCTCTCCCCGTCGCTGACGTTCCTCTGGTTGAACGACAACAAGATCACGAGCATAGAGGCTGGAACTTTCAGTCAGATGCCAGAATTGACTCGCCTTCACTTGGAGAACAACAGACTGACTTCGATTCAACCGGGAGTTCTACGAGGTTTGCACAAACTGGACGGCCTCTTTCTGGAAGAGAATCAACTGACCAGCGTCTCGAGGAATGATTTCAAAGGGCTGATCGACTTGAGGATACTGAACCTGCAGCACAATCAAATAGCGAGCATCGAGCCAGGAGCGTTCTCGGACCTGAGGCAATTGGAACAGTTGGATCTGAGGAAGAATCGACTGAGCCACGTTAACTCTGACGTGTTCAACAGACTGTTTAGCTTGAAGAAGCTGGATCTCTCGAGCAACGACATCGCTACGACGGAGTCTGGCGCGTTTGCAGGCCTGCCGGCATTGAAAAGCTTGAACCTCGCGAACAATAAATTGACTAACGTGGACAGAAAGGATCTTGGATTGACCAGTTTGACGATTCTTTATACGTAAGGTTGCGGTGATCTTCGATATATCTTGGATATTTGAACGCCGAGTTTGAAGAATGTAGAAATTGGTGGAACAAAGAATTTATGAGGTTGTAGATTTTTAATGAATTTCGTCGGCTTATCTTTGTTTTTATTCCGATGTTCGATGAACGTCAAATCCTTGTAATAAAGTGAAAATACATGTATAAGAATACAATACGATTGATTCTTTGATAGGGTTTCGATTTTGAAACTTTCGAGATAGCTCGAAGAACAATTAAAATAATAATTAAATAATAGTTATTAAAATATAATAAATATATAATAATTAAAATAATAATTATTAAATATATAATAAGAATTATATAATTAATAGAAATAATTTGAATTATATAATTTTATAATTTGAACTCACTTGTACGAGTAATGTTGAAAAATCTCCACTTTTCCTAGTAACTGAACTTAATTTAGGACACTGTCCTCGAAATCGAACAATCGTCCAACGTTGAATCGTGAATTTTTAGAACGCAGCGCAACCAAGTTACCACGAACGAGCACGGATTATTTTCTTCGATTATCTAATCGCGATTCGTTTCAGTCCGAAGGAATCGTACTTTATATAAATTAATATTAATTTTGCAGCTCGCTCGAGTTTCGCGGAAAATTCGCAAAGAAATGGTGTCACGTATACGCGATTCCTGTTAATCTCGTTGGCCGACATTAGATAAGTGCAGACTTCTGTCGGTCGTTGTTCTTCCCGGCGTTATCACCGACCAGCAAGAACGTGCGACACGCGTGGGTCAGGGGTTGCGTTTCAAAGCGCGTTATTCAACGCTGAAAACAAACGCAAGAACGAACCTAAATTTCATAAACTAGAGCGTTGAATAAATGAAATAACCTCGGTAACTTTCTTCTGACGAGTTTTAATTCTTCGTAAAATTTCGAACTTCTAAAAATTTCGAAATCTCTTTCGTCCGTGAGATAATAAGTCGACCCATTTTTTCTTTGCTTGTCTTAATGTTAATTTATAAAATCGTGGGAAAAAAGAGTGAAACTTCGAATGGAAAGAAGAAAAATAATAATTCGGACTTTCTCTGAAACGATATATCCGAAAATATTTTTCTCTCGAGAAAATTTCGAAATCTCTTTCGTCCGTGAGATAATGTATCGACCCTTTTTTCTTTGCTTCTCTTGTTAGTTTATAAAACTAATAGAAACTAATAGAAAGGAGACTAATCGTCGAACATTCTACAAAAATTGAGGCAGAATGGAAAGGAAGGAGATAAGACGACAAGGTGTGCTTCCGAGAAAATATTCGACGATCAAAGTAGTCGAGTGCACAGCTTCGGAAGCTCAGCGTTTCCGCAGAGTTTCAAATTCGGGAAACGTGAAATATGCGAAAATGAAAAGAGAAGGGAGTTAATGGCTGAACAGAGTGGAGTCTACTGATCTTGTACCAAATTAACCCGAGCCCGATGGATTCGTTCTTCGATTTCACCTTGAATACTTCGAAAAGCGAGAAACTTAATAAGTTAAATTAAAATTAAATAATTAAACTAAATAAATTAAAATTTCGAGATTTTTCTTTTCGGCAAAGAATTACTTTCGAATTACTTTTCGAAAAAAAGCAAATAAATTAAAGTTTGTTGCATGAAGAATTTAAAAAAATCAGTACATCATGACAGTGTACACAGCTCTCTTCAACTGAGAAACAAATAAGCCATTATAGAGTGGCGTTCAGTAGGTTAAGAGGTTAAAAAAAGGCAGGAGAAAAACATGTAATCGACAATCTGTGTAAACTAATGAAAAATAATCGAGATAGCGGAATCTGAAGGCGTTGAGAACATCGACCAACTCTCGTCGGAAAAGATAGAAGAAAATTCGCTGTAATAGCTGCACGTTCGTATCAAGGACAATTTGTCAAGATTCTGTCCTTCGCGCACAAACTCCGATCGATCTTCGCGGAGTGGAATCAATCATTCTCGAGGTTAAACACCCACACGTCGAAGGTTGACATCTCCAGCTGAACTCTCTTCGTTCGTGCAAAAATTTAAGCAATGTAATTTTCCTAAATCTGCTTCCTCTTCAGAGGAATTAGAATAGTTCGAGGCGCGAAAATTGATACGAGCCGCGCGTGTGTGCGCGTAAACTCTCTCGACAAACGAAATGTAGCCGGAAATTGAGGAAAGTCTGTAAATTAGAAATTTATCTTTCATTCAATTTCATTGGCCGTTTCAAGCCAAAACTATTTCGTGCAGCCGGTTATTTTTCCACAGTTGAATATAAAATGGAAACATGTAAATAAGCTTCGATAAATTTTATTTGCACGGCATGCCGTATAAAATGTGACCTACCACGCATATTTAATAATTTTTAACTTAACGCTCCGCTTTCCTTTGGAAGAGCATACTCTACTACATACTCCAGTGAGCTTTTTTTTCCTTATTTTCTTCTAAAATATGGTTTTGCAATTTTGAGTGAATCAAATTCGACAACTTCCGCGCGAAACAATAGCACTTCTGTTGTAGCCTTCTTGATCTTCTAAATAGAGTTGAGGATGAATTGTCTTTGAATTGTTAAGGATGTGTCGTCTTTAGCGCGAGACTCGATATTCGTAGCAAGGACTGAGGGATCGCGCCAGTGAAAGTGCGGCTTTTGAACGACCGCGCGACGTTAGACGCGTGTATCGTTTCAGAAAGCAGATACCTGTGCGAGTCCCGGTGCTCTGGTGTGTCCAGAACGGGAGCACAGAGGCTGCAGAAACACCTCGGGTTTGATTTACAACGGTGACGGGGCACGGTCGGGAGAATGCATTCACGATGCATTCGAGAACTGCCCCGGGACGTGACTGGAATTTTGGAGCGTCACCGTGCGTTAGACCGTTCGAAAAGCGTGAAATTATTAGGTTGCCGTATATATAATACAGCTTTCTACGAAGCTAGAATTAATCGTGGACCGGCGTCGTTCGTTAAATTCCGTCCTATCGTTCGATCGTTAACGATACACGCAAATTTGGATGTCGATGACGAATGGAATCTGCCATAGAGATCTGTTTTATCCGGTAAATATCGTAAAAGGGGACTTGGCTTTAAAATTTTTGTATATTCTTTGCACATTAATTCTTTGCGAGTTCATACGCTTACAATTAGTGGAATGTGAGATTTCAGAATTTATTAAAATCTTTAACGATTATTATGTGGTTCGATACTTGCGCGGATAGTATAATAGAACCTTAAGAGGGTATATTTCTAGTGTGCCGACTTTTCCCAATTTCGACCATTTCTTTAATAAGAGATTCATTTTATCATTAAAACAAGAGTTCAGATGAAAGTTATAAACATAAACAAACATTTACAATTTATATTTGGTGTGCGCGGTGAGAATAATCTATATGATTTAAACTATGTTCTATTTGGTTCCATTTCGTTTACACGAACATTTAAATTATGTAATATCTTCGTGATATGAAAAAGGGGATTTTTTTAACATAAAAAAAAAGGTACAAGAACTATATAACTTTTTCGATATCCTCCAGCTGATTTTTCATTTTCAAAACGAAATCAAGCTTCTCAAAAAAAAAAAAAAAAAATCCGCAGCAAAATATAGCCAAAATTAGGAAAAGCTGCTAAGCCCAAAAATTTACCGAATAAAGAATTCATACATTTAATATATTTTATGATTACAAATCGTACAAATGCTTTTTACGTCGTTGTCTTACATGAATCCAAGACATACTAAATCGTATTGAATATCTTGTTATCGATGAGCAAGAGTCTACACAAAATGGTGGTATACTTGTATCTAAAAACGTCGGGCGTAAAGGGGTTAATGATGTGATTCCACTGAGCATCGTTTACATCGTGCCGAGAAGATAGCAGAGCTAGAAGTTCTTTTTGAACTTCTTACTAGCTAGCTGGCGAAACTTTCGAGCTTAAGAGTCTTCAAAACTTCCGCAAAAGCATCGCGAAGGCAGTAGTATCGCAGGTGATAGGTCATTAGACTCCCGGATAAAGCTGGTTCTACTTCTACACAAGCTTAACTCGTTCCGGCCGCACAAATTTGATGTATCAACCGACGATCTCGCTCTTTTTAATCCCCTATCTTTCCATTTCATCGGCAAAGATAATAATATTCCGCTGAAACATCTTTCAAATCACTTCGAATGAGCCAGAAACAGGTTTCTGCAATATTGAAAGATCACTTCTCAAAAGGAGACGTGTCCATTTATTCAGGCCAATGTTTTTATCTCGATTGAAAAATTTTCATTTCGAAGCACGTTGCAACAACTCTGCAACAACCAATTAACCAAAACGTCTGCAAACGTTTAAGCGAAGTTCGCATCTCGCGACACGAAAGATGGCGGCGCAGTTGTTGTATATTTAACGAGACTACTTTAAAGAACCTTCCTTTTATGTGATTCCTGAGCTCTCGAGATGAACGGAAGGATAAAAGGAAGTCTAGCACAGGCAGAGATCGAAGAAGAGATAAAAGCCGCCGCGAAGGCTCCCCCTTCTTCATCGGCGTTCTTCATTTTCTAATTTGCAGCTATTCTTGGCTACCTCCTTCTCGCCGGAAACCTGTACTTACATCCATCATCGTGTTACGCGCTAGAAACTGGCGTGCGTCTAACCTAGCCTGACCTGTACGTACGTATACGTATCCGTTACGGGGATTGCACCGTAATTTTTCACGTTTTTATTGCCCTGTCATATCGTTGTGCTCCCGGAGAAACGTTGCAGTATTTCCGGACGAGCATCAGGAAACCGGCAAATCGATAAAATCCATTCGAGAAAGGAATTTTAACGGTCAGATTGTAAAGAACGGGAGTCGCGCGAGCCTCCGAAAATGAGATTCAAATACCTCTTTGTGCGTTTAATCTCTTGCGCTGGGACGACGTGCCACGCACGTCAAGAATTTTTTTCTCCCAAAATTGCAAAATTTCCTCAGTTTTATATTTAAGTATAGTTTTATATATATATTCATTATATAAAAATATTATATATATTTATACGTATATATTATTATTATATATTTTTATATATATATATATTATATTTAAATATTAATAACCCAGGCAAAACAAATAATAAATTTATTACTTCTCAATAATTTCTATCCAGTGATA